GAAAAGAGGCTAAAGTGTTTGTCTCTAATCTGATAGAACATCCTGGAAGAGGACAAAGAAGAAAATCTCTCCCTCCCCTCAGGATTTGAATACTGCAAGGAGATTCAACTTTGTCCTGCCAGGCACCTTACTCTTCCCTTTGTTTATTATAGGTTTAAATAAGATCCTTGAGAAAGCTGTTAGTATTGTCACGTTGCATTAAACCAAATCAAACACTTACATGGCTGCAGGGAAATCGCTGGAACTTTGGATGATTTATTAAGAGAAGCATAACTATTGTGTGTTAACCGTACTGGAATGCAGTATTTTGTACTAAGTACTGTATTTAGAATGTATTTAATGCATTTGTGCAGTTTGGCCCAGTTCTGTTTCTATGGGAAATGTAGCCATGCAGTTACATTATTTCCTGGCTCTCCGTGTGTTAACTTTGGGATGAATCTATCCATTTTCCCAGTTGATTGCTTGCTTCCTTTTTAGAGAGAGAGGGAAATAAATTTAAAATCTTTTCATAGCCTTGGCTTTTTTGTCAGAATAAAAAAATCTAGGTTTTGCCTCATGGGTTTGACAGCGTGCATATTTATGACAAATGTAGGAATTTTCTCTCCCATTAAAGTTTCAACAGATAATTTCAGCAGCTAGTCCTTCAGAACAAAATAAATGCTGTAACTTGTTAAAGAGTCATTAAAAGCTCTTAAGCCTTTAATAGAATATGATACCTTTTATTCAGCCTTTAAATAACATGAGCTGATTTCCTGGACAGGTATGTACAAGAGAGTTTTGCTGGCCAGCCACTTCTCTCAACAGTAGCTGAATAACAACAAAAGAACTGTGATGGTTCAATCCTAGTTAAAGTGTTGCAAAAGAAGGGCAAAACAAGTGAAACAGAAGGTCAGAGCATGTGTGCAAGTATTGGCTGGCAAGAATCCCATTGACTTGTATTATAAAATACCCAGTGGATATATTAAAAAAAAATAGGGTAATTGTTTTGAGAGTTTTATCAGCTCTCTGTTGATCTGGGATATTTTTGGCAGCTTCTTATATTCAGTAACCTTCTATAGTGGAATATGAAAACCTAGTGTAATTCAGTGGATATGCTGTACAAAACATTAGTAAAATATGGCATTTTTCTGAAGCTTGTTTGTCATAATCCAAACAACAACGGGGAAATGTACTATTCCTGTGCAATAGGGATAAATCTTAATATTTTTAACATAACTTTTCAGTATTTTTATTTTAAATCTTGAGATGTTTTTAGTTTAGAGTTTTGGTGAGCTGTAGACTTTAAAGTATGGACAGCTCATTGCTGTGTTCATGAAATCAGAGTGATAAGGAGCTGGAATGGACCTTAAAGATCATCCAGTCCCAAAACCCCTGCCATGGACAGGGTTACCTCCTCCTAGACCAGATTACTCAAGGCCTTCTCCAGGTTTTGAACACTGCCAGGGTTGAGGCAATACTTCATCATAACAAAAGACATCAAAAGGAAAATTATATTATCTGAAAAATAATAGACTAATAAAGAAATATAATGAGAAAAAGAATCTGAATATTAGATTTATAGAAAAAATCTTTTTTTCAAGAATTTCTTAGAATATAAATGCCTTAGCAGATAAATGTTTAGTCTTTGAAGATTGTAACGAAATTGCAGGTTATATTCTGAATTGTAGCTGGATATACATAACTAAAATAGAAATCATAATATCTGGGGGGGTTTCTTTCAAAACCTATTTGTTTTATTGCACTTTTTTTTCCATATAAAATTCTACATAAGCCCACCAGAGACTTTTACATTGTTTATAATACAGCATCATATTTAATTTTTCAATTTAAGAAAACCAGTAGGATCTAGCAAGAAATAACAAACAAGGAGCATTTGTGTACAAACTGCAATGTTTCTTCAGGCAAAAAGGTCTTATATAGAGCATGCAAGTTTTACCATTGAAGGTAGTTTTCTATGGTGTGTAACTTCAGATGAGAGGTGATAATACAAATGGCTGATTTGAAAATATTTTTGTGTTCATAATTAAGATTTGTTGCTTTTTTCTTTCTCTCACTAACTGTAACATGTGTGATGGAGGAAGTTGAACAGAGAGGAAGAAATCTGTCCTAATGCAGGGCTGTTCTCTGAGTGTAGGTTTTGATCCAGAGGAAGGCTAGTTACCTTCACCAGAAACAGGACTAGTGACAGGCTTTCGCTTCTGACCTGCAGTGGAACAGGAAAGGGGTGCTGGCCTCCCTGGGGGAACTGGTTTTTTCACAGACATGAGTTGTGGTCCTGTCTAGTCAAATGGTGCTGAATCCATGTTGCCCACATTCTGAATTTGGAGGTGAAGGATTCTTCTTGTAGAAGAAATTCCAAGGTCCCTCGGAGTCCTTGCCGTGTGTGATGGCAGCAGTTCTGTCTTTGATGAGGTGGCTCGTAAAGCCTGACAGATATTGCCACGTAACTACACAGCCCCTCAGCTGGGCATCCTCTATTTATGTCCAAAGCATTTTGCAGCTTGATATAAAGCATGTAAATGATGCTCAGCAAATAGTCAGGGAACTAAAACTCAGCAGTTGTCTCCTTTGTGCATCCATTTTCAATAATTAATTGGGTATCCTGTGACTTTTAATTGTGAGAAGGGTGATACTCATTTTACAACTCCTAAATTCAGTATGATCAGAACAAAAGCTTTTTTGTTGCTAAATGCGAGACTAATACAGTTATTCCAAATTATACCAATATGAAATAAGCTGTAGAGATGTAAAATTTAATTATAACCATTAGAACTTTATACCAGTTTTTACAGACTTTAAGGAATCATTCTTTATGGAGTGTCGTTTTTCAAAGGCCATTAGAGCTCAGGGTAAATACCATTGAAGAAGTGTGTCCTTGGGCTACAAATTGAAGTATCATTAATGGTTGCATAGAACTGGGAAAGCTTTTTAACAAAATTACTTTTCTTATGATCAGTACTTTTTTCCCCAGGTGTAGTTGTGTGTAAGGTTGACCTCAGAGTCTGTATGAAATAGTGTCTGCAGATCCCATGGCTGGCTCTGAAGAGTTGCATACACAAGTCACTGTAAAATAGATTTAGAATTTTATTATTGATTACACTTTGACAGTCAAACAATCATGTTACTTCATTAGGTTTATTTTTCACCAGCATATAAACGGATTATCTGTAATGGGACAGCTATGGGCTGCTACTGAATGTGGGTTTTGCAACTTAAGCCTGAGAAGGGTAACTCCCCCACTGCACTCAGCCTTTGAAAAGGGTTTTTGGAAACCACAGATCTCTTCCTTGCCTGCTGGAGAAAGAAGACATGTGTGAGGCTGTGGAAAATGGCATTGATTATTTTTGGAATTAACAGTGAAAGGAGACAGAAACTGTTATTGTGGAAGAGCTGCAGAACTCCTGGCAGGAATTGTTGCTTTTCATGCAGCCTTGTCATGTACCTTTCTCTGTCTGCTGAAGGACTCCTCAGACATTCCTGCAGAGACCAGGGCAGGGTCCTGCTCCGTGTGTAACCTCAGGTCACTCCTCTGCTGTCATGTCTTACAGCAGCAAGATGATGACCTACAGGAACTCACTGGTACTTGGGCTTTTCCATCTGTTTTATCTGCTTTTGTGTTTGTTCTGTCAGTGCTTTGGAAGAGAAATGATCCTGACAAGTGTGTGTGCTGCTTGGCATATTAAGCATGAAGATTGCGAGTGCTGCTGTAAAGCCAGTAGAAATAATTAGCTGTACGTCTCTCTTTGAACTCACATTTTCCCTTAAGCAGGACTGCTCTCCGTGTGGTAGCAGTGATATTGATGCAAGGTCAGCCACTGCTGAGCTCCCAGCTCTGCTTCATCAGCTCCTTGCTGGTTTTTGGCAGGGCAGTGTCCTCCCCCCGCACCTGTGCCGTGCAGGCGGTGACCGAGAACAGGGAACCATTGCACTGCTGACAGCCCTGACCCATTTTCAGGTTATGCAAGTCCCCAAGGCCCTTCTAATTCAGTGAGATGAATTCCCTTTTAGAAAGTGCCGAGGACAAACAAAACACTTTATTGGGGACTGGTTTGGTGACCAGCAGCAGTCAGTGAGCTAGGCCTGGATTTCATATTATGCTGTTACAGTTTCAGTAATAAAAGCCAATTAAAACAAAGAACTGTTAGGTATTTTTGAAGGAATTTAATGCTGAATATGTGTTAAATCACTGTCGTAGTGGAGAGATGCTTTCAAAGGCTGTTTCACACTGCCTGAGGATCTGGCTTCTTTTTCATGTTGTCACAGTGCAGGTACCATGCACTGCAAGAAGCAGATGGCTGAGTTCTGCTCAGAGGCTTATTCCTGGCCATGATTTACTTAGTGAGGACCACAGTCAGGTCTGACAGCCTGGAGTTTTTAGACAAAAGTTGGTTAACTTTTAGCCTTTTCAGAAGGTTTACTGAAATAGATGTGAAACTGCTGGTTTGAGTTTTTGAAGAGCACCTGGCAATTCTTGTTTTGATCATAAAGGTGCTCAGTCTCACTGGTGAGCCACAGTGAAGCATTTTTCACAAGTCTGTTCCTTCCACAGAATTGCACACAACTCCAGCAGCAGGAATGGGAGTCACATCCCTGAACCTACTGGCACACAGGGCCAGAAGGCACTCAGAAGTACAAAGCTGCAGAGACACACTTGAAAGTTACTGTGGATTTACCTGCAGTCAGACTCTGGTCCCTGTGCCGAAATCTGCAGTGTAGGTCATGCCTGTAGGCTACAAACTCTTGAAGCATGAGAAAGCATTTTTTTGTTTGCGTGTCCTAAATTTGTATCAGGTACCCTTGTCTCTCTCTTGAAGGGAGAGCTTCATTTCTAAGACAGTTTAATTTTGTCCTGCATAGTTACCTCAAATGGATGCTGGCTATTTTCTGATCTGGAGTCAATTCCTGTAACTCTCAGAGTAAAAAGTAAATTTCTGTAACAAGCCAATTCCTGTCATTAAATAGCAATACTTTTTGTGTATTAAATTTGGTTTTTTTTACAGCTATTCAGTGAAAAAATAAGTGGAGCAGAAGGAACAAAGTTAGATGAGGAATTTCAAGAGATGGAAAGGGTAAGAAAAGTCACATTATGTTTTTCAATATTAAGCTATTGTAGAATCAGAAGTATTTCAAGTTTCAAATGGTTGAATGGTATTGTAGATTTACCTGGGGGAGGAAACCCTGTAATGTGCTTGCAAACAGAAAGATAAAAGGATAAATGCAAATTTGCTCTTGAGCCTTGTCAGCTCAGCCAAGGGAGAAGAGACATCCACAAAGGCTGAATCGGGTTCCACTGACACCTCTCGACAGTGAAGAGAAATTCCTCCAAGAAGGGTGCAGAGCATCAGGAGGAGCCTTCCCCTGGCTGTGTGGGACTTTAGATAAGTCTGTGGTGTTAGTGAGGCTTTGTAAGTATCACAAAGCCTTTGCATCTGATAAAATTAACGATTAAAAACCTGACTACTGGGCCCATATTTTCTCCTGGTAAGAGATTGTATCTTTTAGTTTAAATCCATGTTCTGAAATGTACATGAAATTGGCATGTTTGCTATCCACGGGTGAGTTGTGCTGCAAATTAAACAATGTTTGTGCCAGTTTCTGCTTTTACAATTGGTACGTAGGTTTTTTTTTTTTTAAATTGCCCTTGTCTTTCTGTGTATTTTTTAATGTTTATAGTAAATTTACTTTTCTTTTTCAGAAAATTGATGTTACTAATAAAGCTGTAACTGAGCTTCTGTCCAAATCCACAGAGTATCTTCAGCCAAATCCAGGTAGGATAAGAACAATAGATGTTGGATTTTGATGAACACTGTTTTATTACTTGGAATTAATTTTAGGTAAATAAAAGCTGATTAGGTTATCATTGTGAGGTTTCTGTGTGGAGTTCTGAAAAGTTCTTCTAAGCAAGTGGGAGAGGCTTTAGCTGTGCTTGTATCCTGCAATTGCTTTCTGCACTGTTTTGAATCAAGGAGCTCACAACCAGGACTATTCAAAGGAATGTGAGTGTTGGTGAATATTTGCCTGAAGAAATGATGCTTTTTCAGTTGGGAATAAAAACTAGCTTCATTTGACCTATATTGTTGAATGGAATCTTATTTCAAATTAGGTACTACTACTACTATGAGGTACTGACAACACCAGTCTGAGATGAGCTTCATGGCTTTGCTTGTAAAATAATTTATTGCTTTAAATAGTTAAGTTTAAAAACTGTTTTATCAACATTTTTTTTATTTTTTTCTTTTTCTATGTCCCTCTTAGCATACAGGGCCAAGCTGGGAATGCTGAACACTATGTCAAAGATCAGAGGACAAGTTAAAACCACAGGCTACCCCCAGACAGAGGGACTCCTGGGAGACTGCATGATACGGTATGGCAGAGAGCTGGGCGATGATTCTATGTTTGGTGAGTTGGTGCATCTCCTCTGCCAATATTTCAGCATAAAGTCCTTTGCAAAGTATTACTCACTGACATAGCCTGTGTAGTTGGCCACTGCAGGTAAGAGGGAAGGTTAAATGCAGGCATCAGGGGATGGTTGGTACAGCTCAGAAGCAGAATGTTCCTGCACATTTGTCTGCCTCTGTTGCAGGTGGGTTTGGTAACACTGTTACTGATGCTGTCTGATCATCCCTATTATTAAGCGTTTTAGTTTCTAAGTCAACAAACCTAAATAGTTTAGAGTGATTCTTAAAAGCAGTTTATTTCTTTTAACTTTTATATAAAGATGGCTCTACTCAATTTGAGAAGTAAACTAAGGGGAAAATTATTGTAGAAAGAAATAAACAGTAACAATTGATGATTTTTTTTTTTGTTTAGTAATGACCAGTGTACAGTTGGGAGAATTTTTTTTTCCCATGATATCTGTTGGGGAAAAACAAAAACCCAAAATGTAATTCAGAGCAAAAATTTTCTAGTTCCAGTTTTGTATAGAGAACAATCACAACTTGCATTATTTTCTTTTTTTACTCTTCAAGGGACTGCAGTAGATACAAAGATACCTATTAGAAATATCTGTTTTAAAAGACAATTTTTTTGCTTTTACATATCTTGAGATATAAAAGCCTATTCTTTACCACAGGCCTTGCACTACTGGATGCTGGTGAGAGCATGAAACAAATGGCAGAAGTGAAGGACTCTCTTGATATTAATGTCAAACAAAATTTTATTGATCCTCTACAGTTATTGCAGGACAAAGATTTAAAAGAGATTGGGGTAAGTTTTCCAGAGTAGAACTTCACTTAGCAATAATCAGAGTCAAATCAACCCTAGTTCCCTGAGATATTTTTATTGAAAGCAATAGGGTAAATAAATTTTGTTGTAATAGATTTTCTCTCTAGCAAAGCAGTGACAAAATCTGCTTAGAATCAATGCCAGACTATTTCTCCTTTGTCTAACTTACTCAATTTGCTATATTGCTTGTACAGTCAGTACAAGCATAGTGAAGAGAAATATATTCTTTATTTTTCTGCTGTTTTATTTTAATGAACATTTTTATTAATGCTTATGAACATGTGAGTGAGCTCTGATTTACTGCTAGTGATTATCCTATCTTACCATCTCTGTCAGCCTAAAGCTGTTTATAATGGAGAGTGAATACAGCTGTTGAAAAAGGGCAAGCACAGAATGATCTGAATAGTGTCATAAAATGTTGAAGTGTCATATGCCACTGTAAGAAAAAATACAGGACACTAAGGAACACATTCTTAACCTTTAGAGTTAAGTTTTTCAGTGTTTTTGTTTACAATGTGACAATTCAAAGAAATCCAGGCAGTCTTTGTCTGAGTTTGTAGATTTCAATGGATTTAGGTAATAAGCAAGTTAAAACCCTGATGAAATGCAGAAATGAAACTTATTTTATTTGTTTACACATAAATGAATGTGGAAAGCATAGCAAAAAGATAGCAGTAGTGTCTGTAGCTGTCTCCTTTGAAGCATGGCTGTTTTCACTTGTGTTCTTCTGAGCAGATGAAAGGAAATTGTTTGATGTTAGTTTTAATGAGCATTTTGTACTGTCACTTTGAGTCCATTCTGTGAGTCTGTCAGTCCCAGGATTTTTGGCAGCAGAAAACCTTGTGTAGATTTATCAGCTAGATGTGTCAAGTTGATACCTAACAAGGACAGGAAGAATACAAGATTTGTTGGAGCACTGCTTTATGAGTGGAATAGAACCCTTTAACTTTTACTTGTCACATTGCAGATAATTCAAGATGTAAAATTGAATTACATGTAGAATATGGCAACACACAAATATTTAAGTTGGATCCTGCTTCTCTCCACAGCTCAGAGAATCAATATTGATCCACATTTAGTGAAGTCCATGAGGTGGGTGTGTAAAATAGGCAAATCAAGGCTGCTACCAAAGGGCTCTTTATTTAAAATTTCATTCATGTATGTGGCCCTACACTTACCTGGTGCTGCCTGGTCAAAAGGATGAACTGTACAAGTCTCTGAGCCTTGTATTTCTTTAAATCTGCATATATTTGCATCCATCACTGATATTTCCTGAGATTGTTATGTGTTTGTTTGGGCATGTCCCATTTGGCCCTTCTCATAAATGTTCTCTCTTTTAGCATCACCTGAAGAAACTGGAAGGGCGCCGCTTGGATTATGATTATAAAAAGAAGCGTTTTGGAAAGATACCGGATGAAGAAGTTAAACAAGCAGTAGAAAAATTTGAAGAATCAAAGGAACTGGCTGAAAGAAGCATGTTCAATTTCTTAGAAAATGATGTAAGTCTGTGCTGCATCTTTGTTTGCTGCAGTACATCCTTGAGGGGCAAATGTGTGGGATTGGTTAAAGCCAGTTCCATGCTTGACAGGAGGTAAAGTCTAAAAGCAGAAACTCTGCCTCTTCAGAGTTTTAAATCCCTGTCAGAGAAGAACATAATGCACAGCAAAGAATGGGAGAACTCAAGAATTTCTTCTGGAGATGCAGTGACTCGGACAAGATGGCCACAGAGTAGCCAAGTATGACTAGCTGAGAGTAAAATGCAGTTTGGTCAGTGAGAGGGTGAAGGCTGGCAATTGGTGCAGTCAAGGCTGCAGCTGAAAATATAAACAAGGGCATGTACTCTCTGAGGTTTCTGAATTTTAGCTCACTTACAGTCAAAACTTCCCTGCTGGTGTGGAGTCTCTGAATGATTTTTCCTCGGAAAATCATTACTATTACTCTTTGGCTCTCCAAAGTCCATAGAGTGAGTTTGTGGCTTGGGCTCAGATATGTGGACTTTGGCTCAGAGTCCAAGTCCATAATGAAATTATGTCTAAATAAGGAGCAGCTGTGGCCAGTCAGGATAATCCTCTCTTCTGTCCACACACAGAGGAATAGCGGGATGTGCTTTCTCCTGTGTAATCATGGAATTGTAGGAAAAGAGAGCTGGACCTATTTGGGTCTATTCCACAGTTTTGTCTTCTCCTGTAGATGCAGCATCACAGAAAACACACAAAGTAAAAAATGTGCTGTCTTCTGTGAGCACACTGCAACAGTGAGGAGCTGTGAAGTGGGAAGATTCAACTGCAAGCAACTTGTCTCTCTATGCACATGCAGTTATAAACCAGCCTGTAGCTCCTGAGCTGTTTGTAAGTGGGACACATTTGTCACAACAGTGTAAAGTGTAAGGCAGTTAAGCCTCTTGCTGTTTTACCAGTGTATGTTAATGAGGGCAGCAAAAGCTGGAAAATGCTCTTATCAACAATTTCAGCACTGTTCCACTGTAGGCTCTGCCAGTTGCCTGGTTGCAGTGGATGTGTGTTTAGTAATTCTGTCTTGCATGGACAGCTGAGAAATGTTTCAGGTACTGCTTATCATTAGTCAGAGCACCAAACTAAGGATAAAAGAGTGGAAGAATTCAACTGGTTTAGCTCAGCTGCTAGAAAACAGATGAGTTATGCATTCTAGTGTAAGTAATTTCTGCCTTTGGGAGAGGGTGAACTGGATATCCCTCTGAAGTATTTTTTGGTACCCATTTCTTGTTTTTTCTGTCTAAATAAAACTCTGTGCTTTTCCCCTTCCAGACCCAGTCTGTCTGTCCTCCCAAAACTTCTCATTACAGCCTTGTTGTCTAACCCCAAATGGTCTCACTGTGTTTGTGGAGATCTTAACTGTGCAATAACTTCCTTCTGATCCTTTCCAGTTCCCCAGGTGTCTCCCTTTCTTGGTCTTCTTGCCCTGAAATCTATTCTCTGAGCTCTTGTTCCCAGCCATCTTGCCAGGTGCCTTTCCCAGGCTCAATCCTGGTCCCCACCTTTCTCAGGTTTTTGCATAGCCAGCTCCAGACCTCCCACATTGACACTGTTGCATTCACTTCTTATCAGATCCATCTTCCTGCCTTTCCCACACAGCCAGTCCCAGGTTCATCTTCCTAAGCAGCTTTTAGTCTTTAAGTTTCTCTGGCTCTCCCAGTCTCTCTCTTCTCCTAATCCACAGCTCCATATTTCTCCTAGCTCTTAGTTGTCTTGTTTGGACAATTCTTTATCCATTTTCTCTGACCACACATCCAAACCCCAGGCACTTTGTGTGTTGTCCTCAGCTGTTTATATTACTCTCTTCTGACTGTGGTGGGATTGTCTCAGCTGTTGGTTTGGTTCTCTGCATTTCATTTCTTTGTGCTGTGTGACAGTGTTTGGCTCTCCTGTAGTCCTGGCAGAATTTTTAATGATCTTTTTAGCTGAGTAAAAGCAGACAAAGTATAAGACAAAACTGCCATGGGTCTATAAAACACTTGTAGAAAGTTTACTCAGATATTTTCTTATGATCCAATGTCTGAAGACATCATGATGGAATGGAAAGATGTCAGACTTCTTGGGGTCTGTCTTCTTAATGTTGTCTTGAAGAAGACAAATATCTGATGCTGTTCCATACCCCATACAGCTTGAACTTTTCAGCTTGTGCTAGGGGAATGAGATTATTTGTTACTTCATGAATAAAAATATTTTTTCTTTCTTTCTCCTTCATATTCTCCCTTTCCTCATCATTCATATTTTTGAATGATTGGCTAATATGTTTTAAGGCCAAGTAGATAAATCATGTTTCATTTCCAGTTTATAAATGCTGCCATCTAGTGAGGTAAGTCCAGATAATTTCAGAACTGCACTTTGTAAACATTGATAATAAACACTAATGAGTCTGAGTCATAAGAGCTGTCACAGGGTAACTTCTTCCAACATTGATCAGAAAAGCTCCACTTTCACCTGCTGAGGGGTCATGTCCTTTGAAATTATTTGGGCTTGGGTGTTGACAGACAGCTGGCTTGGAAGTTGAAAGCAGAAGGGATTTGCACGTTGTGAAAGGAAATGACTCAAGGACCCAGCCCTGAGTTAGTGAACTGAAGTTACACCTCAGTTTTGTTCAGTTTCCAACTGGCAGTTTCTTGATAGAATCACATGTGCTCTTTTCCAATAACCTCTACAAGGTACTGTGGTCTTCTGAGATACCAGGTCTGTTTTAAATGATCTGTTTGTTTATCCTTCTGCTGAATGTACTGCAGAGCCCTTACAACTATTTTCCTCTGTCTTTCAGGTAGAACAAGTCAGCCAGTTGGCTGTATTTGTAGAAGCAGCACTAGATTACCATAAACAATCCACAGAAATTTTGGAGGACCTGCAGAGCAAGCTGCAAAACCGGTAAGACAGAACCCCTCAGAAAATGCTGAACCTCTTTTGCAACCGAGGTTCAACGTTGGAAAGTCACTGAAGCAAGAAATCTTGTAGCACCACCTCCCAGATGCACATTTGCTGCGCCTTGTGCCAGACTGAGCTCCATGGCTTTAAACCCCTGCCACCTGGCAGCTTCTTGGTGTGCTGGGAGACTTTAATGTAACACAGGATCCGCCCAGGGAGCTCTGAGTGTGTGCAGTCTCTCCCACCTGTGGTGGTTAATGGGGACAGCCTCCCTTAGTTTAGAGGTTTATTTCAACTTGCATACTTTGAGTTGTATTTTGGAGGATTTGCTTGGAAGTTGGCCTGTTTTTGTTGAGATGAAGGGGTATAACAAAATTCTACAGCACAGTAAGGAACCAGCCAGCTGGCCAGGAACAGAGCTGTGCTTAACACACATGTGAAAGGCCCAGGTACGTTGTGTCAGCCTAAGGAAAGAGAGAAATGCTGCTGTCATTGATGTGTCACTCAGAACCAGAGACCTGAGTGTCACTCTGGTGTGGGCAGGGTCAGAACTGCTTGGGGCTTTCAGCTCAGGGTGGCTGTGGGGGCTGTGAGCATTGGCATGGGGGCAGCTGAGTCTGCAGACACCCTGTGCCATCCCAGCTGGAGGGGCCAGGGGACAAGGAGCTCTCAGCTGGGGCACACACAGCAAGAGGTACTAGACAGTTTTGCTGGTGAAATGTTTTTTTTTTCCAGTATTCCCTAATAAAAAGGCCATGTGTGAGATGCAGTCCCTGGCCTCTGTCCTGGATGTGTTTCTCCATATGCCATTTGCAGTTGAGCTCCTTCCTGCAACTTGTGCTGAACTCAGTGGCAGCTGTGGGTGCTCATCACTTCTCAAACTCAGGCTGTTAAGCTTTATGCCTTTGTCAGCAGGACCCAAAGTATTAAATATATTAGGGATTTGTTGAAATTTAAGTATTGCATGAGAATTGAGCAGCTTTTAATAAAAAACACACACTCCCCCCCAAAACATACCAATCTACCAAAAACCCCAATGCCATAAAACCAAAACCCAAAATAACCAAAAGAAGCCTAAAATCAGAACCAGCAGAAGATTTTCTTACTTCATCTTTCAAACAGCAGAGCATTTAACCTGAACTTAACTTCTGTAAGTATTTCTTCCTTCTTTCTTCTTAAGTAAATCTCTTGTTGCTCTTCTTTGTGTTACAGAATAAATGTAGCATCTAGTCGGCCTAAGCGTGAATTTAAGCCAAAGCCTGTAATAACTACAACTCTGGAAATTGGTGATAATCAGCAGCACAATGGGATTGCCTATAGTTCTTCCATAAAATCATCAGGTGAGTCTGTCACCACAGAATTAATGCGTCTCTAGATGTTTTGCCAGATTGTTTCTTGAGATATTTCTTGTACAATGAGAACAATGGATCCATCAGGCATCAGTATCTGTGCATCTGACTCCAGATTTTTTCCCACATTTGAAAACAGAACTGTGAATCAGGGTTCCTCTCAACAGACTCTTATCCATCTGAAATTTAGGTGTGGCATTCTCCTTGGTCTTTCAGGTCTCTGAATTGCCACTGAGGGTGGGAAGAGAGAGAGGGAGAGGCACTTGCAGAAAACAGTTCATTTCTTGCAATGACAGATGCCTACAGTGGGTGTGTTTGATCACAGTCTGGAGTATCTCTAGCTGCTAATTTTTCTCCACAGTCTCAGAGCATAAATGATCTGTACAAGATCTCAAAGATTAGCTATGTAAAATCCAGAGAGATGACTCCCACCCTTACTGGTTTTAAGATCTTCTAACTTCACTGTCCTCTAAATTATGTACCAAAGTATGAATTGAAGTACTTTAAGTACCTGTTGGTGGGGTCTTAAGACCCTTTCCTTTTATAAGGCTCTTGATTTCACAAAAAAAAGGCAACTTTTGAAAGTTGTGTGAATAGTAATAATCAGCAATGTTACACATTGAAATAGCTTTTCCTCATCTCATGAATAAAATTATTTTGTCCTATCTCCTTAATAACTACATTGTATGATGAGATGAGCCCATTAAAAAACAAAACAAATAAAACCCCCAAACAAAAAGAAAACCCCAAACAAAACCCAAATGACAGTATGCAAAGAAATGAGAATGAAAAACCCTGAGATTTTTCTATAGACATTATTTGAAAGGAAAATAATAGGAGGAGTAGTAAGCCAAAGGTTCTTTTCTGTACTTGGCATGGCATCTAGGATCTTTTCCTGAAGGTTTGTTTTTGGGGTTTTTTTTCTGACTGTCCAATTTCTTCTTCCCTCCAGTCTTGTTCCTTTATAAAGGTTGTTGGGAGAGAAATGAGTGAACTAAAAGTGAAAGAATAAAGCTTGGAGATGTAACTTCATGCTCCTTCTAATGCCTCTTTAATTTTCTTGCACTGTGCAACAACAGGAAACCATTATGCAGTGCATACTGAAGGGGATTTGCAGCAGCTTGGCAGCATAAATCCACCCAGTGAGATCTGATTCCTCAATTTGTTTGAAGCTCCTTGTGCTGCCTGAATGCTGAGTTTTTGTGTTGCTGTAAATTGTGGGATGGAGGGAGACAACCCCGTCTGTGCATTATCTCACATTCCTAAGAATTGTGACACAAGGACACTTTTCATGCAAAGTATTTGAGGTGTTTGCAGGGATCAGTAACTTTGTATTTTCACAGGACATCTGGATGAAAGTAGCAAACACATAGCAACTTTATTAAAAATCACCATAAAACTTTTTGGCAGTATCAACTACTTACCAAGTTATATAGGATTGTTTTGCCTGTTTTGCATGTGCAGGCGAGGAAGGAGATTCAGATTCAGCATCTGTATATAAGCTACTGTGTCAAACTGCATTACAATGGTTTATCATTGCCATCCAGCAGTTGTTCCAAGATGTCCTTTAAGGATAATCAGTACTGTCTTTGGGACAAAGACAGATGATGACTTCTCCAGGTTGTTTCCAGTGCACTTAGTTAAAGGAAAAATCTCAGTTCTAATGAGCTGAAATTCAGTGAAAACTGGAAAATAAATGACCTCTGATCACTAATATAGGGAAGGAGCAAGGCACTTCCATTCACTGACTCCATCCATGGACTGTTGCACCGTTTGCATATCACTGAATGAGGGGATGTCACTGCTTCACTTGCTTAGTGCTGAATGGAAACTTAGTTCAGAATGGAAACTAAATAAAACCACCACAAAAGAGATGAAAAGGAGAAATAGGGATATATGAGGTAATTGTTGCCATACTTACGTGCTAATAACATTAGAAAGACCATGTATGCTGGTTTTTTCCTCCTGAAGAAGCTGTAGATGCTGTGCTTACCTCCCCAGCAGGTACAAATTGTCACTGAAATCTCTGTTCATTCTCTTTTGTTTTCCTATTCCTACTCAAACATTGTCTATGGAGTTCTGTGAACTGCAGTGGGCTCCATATGCCCTGCTTATAAATGGGAAAACCTTTCTGTCCCTTTTTAAAACTGGAATCATGAAACAGATAAGATTTTTTAATGACATGTTATTTAGAAATGAGAACCAGATAGTTCTGAGCAAAACTGCTAAATGTTTTAAAGTCTCCATGAGATAGGGAAATAGCATTGTAATCACCTTCTTTTTGTTTAGGAAACTGACCTCCCCATCCTACCCAAACAGGTCCTTTCATGATTAAGTTTCCCTGCTTCCATATTGACCCTGTCAAAATGCAGATCTTGAATTTCTCTGATACTGTCCCTCAGGGTAAGTAATGTCTTGGTATTCAGCAAAGCCATGGAGATCTGCAGGATAGTTCAAAGCAAGATGTGACACATTCAGCACAAGTGCCATGGTACAGTTCTGAGCATGGAAATTACTTTTTCCATATTTCACATTAGTTTTTCAACTATCAGCTTCTTGGAGCAGAAATACTATTTTCCTATGTATAATCCCTAACATGTGAGGATTAATTACTGCTTATGACTCGCACACTTTTGCAGGTCTAGATTCACATAAACTTAATTTTTATGTTGCTGCGAGTTATTTGGCTGCTTTGAATAAAAAAATCTCTAGTTTTAATTCATTGTTATCCTCATTAATGAGCTGCAGCTGTGAGCATCATCTGGCTCATTTTAGAATCCTTTAATTGCTGTATTACATCATGCCTTTCACTCAGTTTGTTTATCAGGTTTGACTATGATATGAAATATATGGATCTGGTTGCCACATGCTGGAATTTAACATAAGCATCCAAGTGTTTATTCACTTCAGCTATGAGGGAGACTGGGATTAATTATATTAGCAAGCTTCCAGTTTGTGATTATGAAAGTACAGTCTTGCTACCTGATGTATACAGCATGGTATAGAAGGCAGAGTTGATGTAGGTACAGGCAGTAACACCCTCCCTTGGGGGACAACAAACAAAAAACCCAAACCATCAATGAATGGCATTTTGGTTTCATCCTGTAACATTCCAGGAATCACAGACAGCTTCTTGCTTACCCTGATTTTGTGCCGTCCAGATCTGAGTGGTCTGGAAATTATTGACAATTCTTTTTTGACTGTGACAGGGATGTAAACTAGAGAAATAAAGGAGGTGCATATGGAGTTGCAAATTAATATAAACCCTGTTGGCAGAAATAGAAGAGTGCAATTTATTTAGCTGAAACCTCTGCAACATTTGTGCAAGTCGACAGCGAAAGGCTGGAGTGGTGCCAGCAGTTCTGTGATGTTAAGCAGTGTGTGTTGCAGAGTGTTAGGCAGTGCTGCCCCCTTACCTTTGTCAGGGAAGCTTTGTCTCGCTGGATTATACAGTAGCAGCAGCTGCCTGACTCTAATGAAGACTTTGACTGATCCTACAGCCTGGAGTGAAACTAGTTGTGCTGGCTGTGGCCATTATTTAAAAGCCTTTCCAGGCTGCCAGACGTTTCTTTGCAGTTCTTTGGAGCTTAAAATGAACCAAATGTGATCCATCTCTGATCAGGTAGCTCACTGTCAGAAATTAACTGGCCTGCAGTAACAAATGAGCCCCGTCGGAGCAGCCGGTGAAGGTGAGGAACACTGTCAATTACTGTGATCGCTGCCTTCTGCTGCTGACAGCTCCAGAGAGCTGGTACCACTTCTACCGTGGCAAAGGTTGAAAATAACTCTGCTATTTTTAAACACAATCAGTCCATTTTTGGTTTTAAACGTAAGTCCATTTTTGCTGGGCAACTGGCTCATCATCTCTTTTTCTGCATGGAGTCCTTCTGCAAATATATGACAACCAAGCTTTCAGCTGTACCAGTGTATTAGAGTAGCTCTAATTTAGTCACTTCTTGTAGTACTTTGTCACTACCCTGAGCCTTCCAGAGGATGAGCCTGGCATCATGACAGTGCTGCTCGAGGAAGGTTTGCACTTTTACTTGGATGCATTACATATGTTGTTAAAAAATCTGTTATGGCTGAAGTACAGTTGAACCACGGACTAGTCCTTGACCACAGAGTCGAGCTTTACAATTTGAACATAATTATTCTAATAAAATTTATTCTAATTTTTCATAAATACAAATGTTACCTATATATTGGTACCACCAATCCCAGCTAATTAATACTCCTCCATAAGAATATCTTTAAAAAGGTATTTACTGCATTAACAAGTTAACAAGGTTAACTTAAAAAAATGTTAAAGGATGATTTGAAATAAAGATCTTTTTAGGATAAACATTGCAAATCATGAGAACAGCCACATACTGTATCAGAAAACAGTTTTCATCCCTAAAGTAATTTGACAGGTGAGGTGCCTTTGTTCCTACCATAGCCTTTGCCTTAGCTCAGATGGAGGATGTGTAAAATAAAGGAGTGGAGCACACAAGCTCAGGAGCAGTAACCCAGAACTGTCACTGCTCAGGTGAGGATGGAACTTTATTACTCGTGCCATGGCATGTGTGGTGTGAAAATCCAGGAGTGTGCCTCAGGCTGCAGGGCTGTTTTTATGGACAGACCAAGAGCCCCTGCCCCCTGGTAGGTGTTCCCACACCATCAGTGTGCTGCAGTGCCGTTTGTTTAAAGATTTTCTTGTCATTTCCCCTGTTGACTTTTCTGCTTCCTCAAGTCCTGCCCTTCCGATTCCTCTGGCAGCTGCTTCACAGAGAGCCCATGGCTTTTGACAACTGATTACTCAAACCCTCAGTTGGAGATAAACATCCTTTTGAGAGGGAAGGCAAGTAGGAATGAAAGAGGAGTAGCATCTGAACTTAAGGGACAATTATGCTTTAAACTTATTATCACTAATCTCATATTTTATATGTAGAAGCACCAGATGTTAATGAATAAAAGCAATGGAAAAGCTGTTGCTGACAGCAGGGCTACAATTTTGACCCCTTGCTTTGTGCTTAGTGGCTGGTGGGATGCTGGGAAGCTCAATTAATGTGGTTGTTTTTTCTGTCACTGGGGCAGGTTCTTCAGTGCACATGGATCAGCCTTGCTGCCAAGCTCTGTATGACTTTGAGCCAGAAAATGAAGGCGAGCTTGGATTTAAGGAAGGGGACATCATAACTTTGACCAATCAGATTGATGAGAATTGGTATGAGGGGATGTTAAATGGAGAGTCTGGCTTCTTCCCCATTAATTATGTTGAAGTGATAGTTCCCTTGCCTCAGTGATTGTGTCATTCGAGCTGTGAACATGATTTCATGACTGAAATGGATTCACAAATGTTCTGTCAGTGTGGCATTCTGTGAAAGCCTTGCTATTTGACTGACTTACTGACTTTTGTATGCGTCTTTTTAAAATGTATTTATTTTATATTCAAAAATATTTCACCTTCCCTGATTTGTCAACCTGCAAAAAAACCCATACCCAGTTTTTTTGCTTTGTGCCTTGAAGATCACTGTATGAAGTGTTTACTGGTAGCTCACTGTTGCTCCAAAAATGCATTTCCTTGCTATTATTGTATGTGGGTTTTTTTTATCTTTGGCTGCAATGATTTTACTATTTGAAACCATTTTAAAAAATACTGTTAGTGAAGCTAACTGTAACCAGTTTCTAAGTTAATGATGTCCTTGAGCTGTTTTCATCTATCACACCATAATTTATTGTGAACAAGTTAATTCATCTTTTGCATTGTATGTTGACAAAAGGCAAAGTGGTTGTTGTCAATATTAAGATGATGTTGTACTAAGTACAAGTTCTCTGCGTTGAAAATTGGTATAATTTACTGACCAAACTGAATAAATATTTCTGTGGGATAAGAAAAGTGGTTGCTGCTTCTGTACTGATGGTTCTGGCACTTGTTTGAGCAGGAATCCACTTTTGCTGAATAGATGGGCTTTCGGTGTCAAAACCAATGCATTAATAAAATATTAGTTTTATGACACCTCTGCACTGTAATTTTAATAATCTTGATACTTCCCTATTGATTGTTTAGCATTTATGTCTGTTAAGATATTTTTCTAGCAGAAGGAAAAGAGAAGTTCCTTGGAACCAAGTACAAACTGCTCCCAGTTCCATAGGGTTCGTATAGAACTCCAGTGAGAGAAAAGAGTGAGTAGCACTGGTGCCTACAGCACACAAATGAGAAGTCAATACATTTCTCTTTCTTATATTAAGTTGAAAGTGATGGAAAGGAGAAAGAGAAGAATAGGCAGCAATGGAAAGACATGTAATAACTAAAAATATAACAGAAAAGCCTCAAAATTAAGGAAGAAGTCTGGCATCAGAAGTACTTATCCAAATGCAGATAGAATCTGCATTTGTTTTTGTCCATCTCCTGCTTTGCTTAGTAATGTAGTAGTTACCAAACAAAGTGAATAGCTGTGGAGGAAGATGTAGTTTTTTGTCACTTGCTCTCCATAAAAGACAAATTTATGAGAAGGGAGCTGAATTCGTTACAGGGAAGCTGTCTACTGAAGATTTCCCTTAAGCTCATAGCAGTTTAACTCTAGTTGAAGTAAGTGATAAACAGGAGAGCAGAGTGCATTGCCTAAGGTTTCTTCACTCTGCAGTCCCCTAAATCACCAGTTTTATTACTTCAAAGTCTTTTGAACCACTCAACAGAAATCATTGAACATATAGACCTTTATTATTTAATCTGCAAATATTTAAATCCAAGACTGCTTTTATATACATGAAAAATATCTTTAATAGTTAAAAAACTTTTAAGAAATAAAGATAAATACAGCAAAGTTAGAGCAGCAGCTATTTCTATTGTTTGAGATGGAACAAGAATTTGGATCTGCTAAAATCCAAGTCTTAAACCAGCATCTGCTCTTGATGTCTCAAAATTAGAATTTTTAAATAATATAAGAGTTTAAGCTAGCATAGGAAAACTTCACCTTAGCATCCTAACACAAAGCAGGTCTTGAATTTGGAACTGAACATTTTGGCAAGGTAAAAGATGGTGAAAACGTTATTCCAGCATTGAGAGAAAGCTGCAGGCTCAGCTGCTCCCCTCCTGCTCTCAGGTGGAAGTTTACTTCATGTGGCTCAAAGCCCTTCCTTTCCCCCAGGTCCAGCAGGAGAGACAGAGTGACTGCAGTGCTCCCGAGGCTGACTGTTCCCTCCTGAGGGTTCCAGGACAGCATTCCATGGAGCACAGAGCTGCCAGAGTGACAGGGAGCTGCACACTGGCCCATAACCAGTTTACCCCACAGCTGCAGCCTGCATGGAGATTTAGCACATAAGGGCTCCAAAAGCAGTGACTTTGTTGTGTTTTTCACTACAGTTGTGCTGTCTAGTTTTGATTTTTGACTTGGCATATTTTTCTTTCTAGCCCCTTAAAAAGCTGTTGGGACCAACAAGCAGTGCCAGCAGCACAGGGCACAGTACCTGCTCTGTCAGAATGAGATGCTTTTTCACATTTTCAGGTTACATTTGTCTAAGTTAAGGCTGGCACAGCTCTGCTGTGATACACTGTACCTAGGAATATACAATACTGAAACAGGAACTTCCAGATGCTAGACTATAGAAACAGTACATTTAATAACAGGCAGGAATATTTTTGACAACTTGCTTTTAATTCTGAAGTGTTTCACTCTAGGAACTGATCCAGACCAGTTTTATGTATCTCTGAATCAGGATCTGAGCAGGAAACATTTCAGACCACTCATCACTCTTCATGACAGTGTCTTACTGCAGACTTGCTCAAGGTGCAAGGGTGTGATCGGTCCCATGTTTCCTGCTCAGGCTGGAAAGAGAAATTACTTTTGGAGAACTCCATGTCAGAATATTGAGAAAGCTGAGGCAGCCTCATGTTCATTGTCAAGTATTTAACATCCTTCTAGGGCACATGTTTAGAAGCTTTGTAAACTCTGTACCCTTCTCTGTTTCAGCAGGTCACAGAAACCAGATCCTTGCATAAAAGTCAAAAACTTCACATGGAGCTTGTATTCTACTTTGTATCTGTGAATCCAAGGCCAGGGTCCAGTATCAGAAGGCAGGAAATTCCATCATGTTATGGACAATGCTTCTCACAATGACATCAGATGAAACATGTGAGTTCCAAAGTCCAGATATGACAGATGATATCAACACAGATACAGTCTGTGTCACCTGGGACTGAGAGGTGTTTTCAGATGATTGTCCACATTACATGACAGAACAGCTGGGATCTTCATTTTGCTGCAGAAAGAAAACATTAGGCTGATTATTCCTTGCTAGTTACCTACTTGATCCTCATATAGGCAGGTAGGGTTTTTAGCACTTTGTAGATTTCGTTACTTATTAATAAAGCAAAGCAGATTTTCAATAGGCAGTACATGAACTGTGCTACACAAGTCTTTAAGTCCATGCAATACAGGACCCTGTGCCTTCCTTAATGAAAGGCTGTCAAACTGCCCATCACTACCTCTCTTCCCAAGCATCAGAACCTCTGTGACATGCAGATACATGCTGCCCTTGTTAGGATGGTAAAAGCAGAAGCAAAACATTGAAGCACTGCTTTCCTTTAAAGCACAGCATGCAGTCTTCCCATTATTTTACTGCACACAAGTGAACTTCTGTTTACTAAGCCATGTCAGTACGACCAAGGCAGCAGAAGCATATAGGTACTAATGTCAAAAGTTTGACAGGAATTCAGCAAACAGGAATAACATTAAAATTTGATTGGAAATATTAGAATCGATTCTTACCATAAATGGCACACAACTGTATTATAAAGTTGCTGATAAAAAAAAGATTAGAAGTGTAAAGAAAAAAGTTACTTTTGCTTTCCATCACTGATTATTAAACAAGTGATGTAAGTAAATTCAAAAAATGCCTTTTAAAAGAAAAAGAAGCCATCTTTGAGGAGAGGCCCTACTCTGAGTATGAAAAGAAGCTTACATCACTAAGAGCCCAAAGGACAGAACAGCATTATAGACCTTCTCAATCGCCTATTTAACAGGGTCTAACCATCCTTCAGCAAGACTGAAAATATTACAAGAATGTACAGGCAAGTCAGGAGACTGATAAATATCCTTTAAGCCAAATGGTATTGTAGCAACAGATATTTACCTGAATTTTCTGTTTGAAAGAACAAAAAAACAAACAAAAAAAAAAACAGCAGGCAGTAACTGCCTCTTCAGGTACATTTATTTTTTTCGGAAAGACTTAGTAAGGTACTTTTAAGTTAGTTTTCAGAAAGATACATTATGCAAATATCTAGGAAATAGTGGGAGCTTTAACCTAGTGCAGTAAGATGCAACTCCTCCTTGTAACTGTGTAGGATCAGTTTTAAGAAGAGCTGAAGTAGCTGAACATTTGTCAGCAGGAAGGAGAGAGTTTTTAGCTAAGCACCCCCTTGCTCTCAGGCTTTGGAGTTTGTACCATAGTACTGTTTCAGGTCAAGACACTAACTTGAATCAAGTACAGTCTATAATTGTTTGGTTAGGACAACTTAAAGCCCTCATATTAGTTGGTTTAGACTATTTGAGCAATTGACGATAGCTAATAATATATCAAAGTACAGTAGGAGCATCCAAAATGCATCAGTTCAGACTTGTATTATGGTCAGTCAAGAGCCATTTGAAGAGGCTGGATAGTCTTGCACAGGTTATTACACCATGCAAGTTGGTAGCCAAAAGTTTCTAAGTATACTGACCTTCAGTTCACACTGAAATTGTCTTAAAAGAAATCTAGGAACACCGTAGTGTCAGGTCACTTCATCCCACAGAAGTAGTTAGTGTTTGCATTCTGTTCTTGGGATGACAGCTTTAATTCACAGTCAGATATTTAAATGAAATGGACATTAAAGGTTGTATTTTCAGTGTGTCAGTAATAAGATAGCAAACAATTCATGCTACAGTTTGGTCATACTCAGAGAATAAGCAAAACTTCAGTTGTATTTCTGATGCAAAGCCATGCAAGCTACATCCTACATGGGAAAAGAGACTGCAGCACTACTGATGAAGCAAGTTTTCTATGAGGTGACAAACCTGATTCTCACCATCTCACCTGCTTAAGGATGATCACAGGAACCACTATCATGAAACCAAACAACATTTCTTTTTTCTTCTTCTTTTGGTCTGACATCAAGAAAAACATTAAGAGTTGCAGGATATGAATACTTGAAGAAGTATTTTAATTTAGTAAGGAAAAGAAATTGCCATTGACTGATTCTGCTGACAGCATCTATTTAAACTTTAGGCATCTTACCTGAGATGCAAACTCTGCTTCACTTCCAGTTATTTCACCATAATCATCATCTTGCTCACTTTCTTCTCTGGGTACAAGCATTATCTTCCTCTCTGCAAGTTCCTACAATACAATTGAATTGCCACCAACACCCCACAGGAATTAAGCACAAACTAATTTAGCATTAGGACAGTAGAAGCATTTTATTATTTCACTTACCTCACCATCATCTGTAATGAGTGTAACACCAATATTATCTCCAGTTCCCCAAGACTTCTGAGACTTCCAGACCAGATCACCAGGACCAGGGCTTACACCAGCAGCTGCACCCCAGATCTGCAATACATTTACAGTGAGCATCTGAAGAATCTTTTTCTATAGTGAGATTACGATACAGTCTAACATATATAATCATTAAGTATTTTAAGATCAAAGACATCCAGTAGGACAAACTGAAGCACTGTAATTCCTAGAAAGTTAGTTCTTTTCAGGACTACCAAGAATGGTTGGTAACGTTTTTCTAGCTGAAGATTGTAAAACTGCAGAAAAGGCTGTTAACAGCTTCTATCCAATGCAGAGGTAGCCCTGCGTGGCCACTCAGAACATTTGAGTCACAGAGCCAAGCCACAGTCACAGACATGCTCA